TGAAAAATGGTAACGAGTACTTTCAAGAATTGAGTTCAAAAAATATTATTTTTGGATAGAAAAAACTTTAAAAAAATGGGAAAACATTCTATAAAATAAGACTGAAACATTTTTGGGCTACGGCATTGACTGTGTAAATTTTGGTTAACGCCTGATTGTGGATGTAATGTCAACTTAGTTCACATATACAAATAATATGATATTTGCTAATATTAATATAATCATTTAATTTTTATTATATTTTAATAATGTGGATGAAGAGCTTTTTAAAGCGAATTGTGTGTATCAAAAATGAATTATGTTTGAAACAAGTTTTATTCAACATCTAAACATTATTGCATTTTTTGAAATGTCTACAAAAATTAAAATAAAGTTGTGATATAAATATAAATTATAAAAAAAATTAGATTTACATTAAATTTACTATTATAACAACCGAATTTGTAATTTATTTATTTAGTTTTTTTAATTAAAAATCACAAAAGAATGTTATATTGTTGTGTTCGTAGTTTAAAAACAACCAAATTCAACTTGCCAAAAATGAATGTATTTAAGTTTGAACACAGCAAATTTCTTCAACTTGAAGTTTTCACCGCAGCACAACTTACCATAAGGCATCTTATTGATGAAGTATTGGCACTTTCCGATTTTATTATCTTTTTTACGAAGACAAATAGCATATCCACACATCCCAAAAAGACAGTCTCCATTTTCAATAGATCCAACAACAAATAAAAATTCGATACCATCACCTCTTCCTATATATCTGTCTGATTGTTCTCCGTCCAAAGTGAACACAAAGGCCTTGTCGTCTTTCAAGAAATTGTCTTCGTCTGTATCAACATTAATTTGGTTATAAATGACACCACCAAAAAGTGTTGTTATTTTCAAAATGTTACACAAATTTCATTTTGATTGTTTTTCTCTTCAAAAACTGATGTGTAAATGAATGGTGATAATAATGTTGTTATTACCTCAAATTAACGGGAAAATACATAAAACAAACTAAGTTTTTTTGGATCATTTTTTAAAGAATTTTGCTATAATGTGTGAGTCGACTTATTAAATGTACTCTTACAAAGAACGAAACGACATCCACGCAGCCAAGACAATTTATAATAAACAACTTTTACCCGACGGCAGAACAAAAATTCAATGTTTAAGTCTGCCAATCGTAGTGTTCTTTTTGATTATGATTGTCTCGTTGTTTTTTATTAATTATTTAATTAAATCCAAGTTGTTTGTTGTCGAATCCTTTGTTGTATCTGTCATCACACAAAAAATCCGCCCAACAAAGGCACCACTCTTTTGTTATACGCGATGTTTGAACGTAAAAAATCAATTTTGTCAATTTGTCTAAGTTCTTTTTGTTTGAAAAAACAAAGATTTCAAGTTAAAAAAAATATTTTTGAAAAACAAAACCAAATAACAAAAAATGCCCTATTTTTGTCGATAAATAAGGTTTCCAGACTGACTTTATTGTGTTTTTTCACATTTTTGAGACTATAATGAATATGGTATAATATATTAAAGTTAATAGTTATTTAGTTCTAAAAGAAGTCGGCAACTTTTGAAGGGACTCAAAAAGTCTCTGACATCTCAATAATATCAAAAGTCGCCGAACAGCCATTATATGTTTAAAAATAACAACTTATTACACAATAATACATCGTATTTAATAATATATATTTTCTTTTATATTAATATTTTTAATTAAAATTAAATCAAAACAAAATAATATATCGACGGTCTATATGACAAGACAATATAACAAATATAATATGTGGAATTTTTTGTTTATAAAAAAAATAATTGAAATTATTACAGGGATAAAAAACAGCTTACGCCTTTTTAACCGCTTCCTATCGTTTTATTAGTTCTAACAAACATCATTATAATTTAAAGTATAAAACAAATTATTACATCAGATAGAAAAAGTTTTTTACAAGGAATATTCAGCCTTTGTGGTAAACAGTACCATACATTATATTATATTTATATTATTTAAATTATAAAATCAAGTGAAAGCGGTTTTTTTCCCTTGTACAAAGACAACAAAATGTTTTATTATTCGGATTTTGTTTTCTACTGAATGTCAAAAAAGAATTAAAGTTATGGTATTTCCACGCTTTTTGATACATTAATCAAAATAACTCATTTTTAATACAAATATGAACATTTTTATGAATAGTTTTTAATAAAATTGAGGATGTATATATAAATGAAACTATTTTTGTTTATATTGATTGACTTTTTGTGTAATAAAATCAACCAAACAATAACAAAACATAATAAAAACGATTGTGTTGTTTTTAATAAAATAATAACAAACCACATAATATATTATTAAAAAATAAAATGTCGCTTAATTTATACATAAATTAAATCACAAGTAAAACAAATGTTATTCAATTGCTTGTTTTAAAATGATTCTCAACAATTTAAATAAAAAATAATCAACATAACATAGTTATAACAAATATCAACCTACACAATAATAAAATACTTTTATGACATTATAATTTTAGAACTAAATTGAGCAATAACCAATAATATTTAATAATCAAGTTATAGTAAGTTATTATTCTAATGTTTTTAAAATTTTTATTAAATAAAAGAATATTCTTTAATATATTAATAGCTTTAATATTAATCTTTTTAATAATTGATAATTTAA